TGGCGTACACCATCTTAGATCAAGCAAGACGAAGCTCTCTCAGAGATGACAATCTCAATAGAGGTCCTACTCTCATCAACTCTCTCCCTTCACTCTGGAGGTCCGTGTCATCTGCCTCATCAGCGTCTCCCTCCCTTATTTTCGTGCAGCGCGGCCCCAGTTTTGTCGTCACCTCAGGCTCACCTCTGATCCGCACACGTGCCCGTTCTCCTTTACTTCTCGTGCGGGGAAGTCAAAGTTGGCATCAGCTCTCTGAGCGTCCTTGTCACACTTGAACGCACCGCTCAGGTCTCTCCCTCACACGCAAAAAGTCTCTCTCTCTCTCTCTCTCTCTCTCTCTCTCTCTCTCTCTCTCTCTCTCTCTCTCTCTCTCTCCTGCCAACCGTCGTAGGCTCACGCACCACACAAGCGCATAGGTAGCCGTTCACGTCAACCGCCTTGCACTCTCTTTGACCTTCTCGCCCTTCACTGCTCTCGGACCGTCCATGTGTAGCCCGCGTATGCGCCTCCCCGCCTCGGGCTCAGTCCCGCATTCTACCTGCGTCCGCGCTTGATGGTCCAGCCCCCGTTGGCTTCGCTCTGCCCCGGGCTGAACTAGCCTCAGGCCCATCCTCCACTGGTCCCGCCAGCGGATGGTTTCGGCGGATCTGGTCCAGTCCATGCCAGGACTGGACATCCGCTTCTCGGTCACTCATTTCCGACTCCCCTTCAGAGTCTCTATCATTATGCTCCACCTCCCTGGTCGTGGTACCGGTTGAAGAGTCATCCTCGTGGTAAGTGACTGTCACTCGCATCCCCGCAGTCACTCCATCTCGCCTGCATCTTCGCTCTGCCCTGTTACGAGCCTCAGTAATCGCTGCCTGCAGTCCCCCGTCTCGCCGCATTTCCTGTTCTCTGTGACCGCAGACATTAATCTTTAGCCTCACTTCTCCCGTAGGCTTCCCGTAAGACAGTATAGTCTCCACCAGGGTAACTTTTTCATCTTCACTCTCCCATATCCAGGAGTATCTCATATACCTAGGTCTATAGCCGCGTAGGCCATCCCGGTCGGCCATAGCCGCGCTCAGAATAGCCAGTCTCTTGGCTCCAGACACATGCACCCTTCTCGCGCAGACTCCACGCAGGCTCCCACCAGCACGACGAGGCCGCCTGCTGGTAACCTCTTATTTACTGCTCGATAGCCAACCTTACTCTCTCTTTTGTAGGCTTGCCTCATACCAAGATCCCCGTGGTCTAAACGGGGAGCTCAGGGTAGCCTTCAGAACTTAGTGTAAGCTTGAAAAATATTTTGGAGTAAATTAAAGTTGAAATTTTACACAAAAGAAAAGCAAGTGAAAGACTGAGCACCTGCAGTCGCAGCACAGGGAGGGCAACAACTTCGCTTTTTGCCCCTGTCACTTCGACTTGCTGTGGAGTGATTGCAACTTCAAGGCGGTGGTCCCATAATGGGGTATCGACGGTCACATTTCCCCTTTTAAAACACAGCGTCAGCCTATCCCTGTCGGGTACCCGCGTCCGATGGCAAGGAGGGGGCTTATGACCCTCCACGAAGGGTGATAAACCTCCTACCACTGCGGCCGCGGGTCGCCCCTCTTTTGAGGTCCTCCCGCACGGAGCTCAGCCAGGCAGATCTGGCACAGGCGATTTACGAGGGGTCGGGCCAGCCTAGGCCGTCAGACAATAATCGTAGTTCAAAAATTGAACCGTCGGCCTCCCCTACGAAGTGACAGAAATTAAAAGGGAAAGCCGCGCCTGAGAAATCGGTAAGATAATAATAATAATAATAGTAATAATAATAATAATAATAGTAGAGGAAAAGAAAACTCAACGATACAGTGGCCAACTGTCGCTGGGTTGCTCTGAATTAAAGCAAGGGCCCTGATCCGCGTACTGATATGACGCTTAACCTTCTTTTCTCTTTTACACTTTCACTTCCTTTTATTCCTTTCACTCAGCCTTTCCTTTCCGACAGCGACCTGTTTCGTGCACCTAACCCATAACCTGGCAGAGGGGCACTCGGCGCGCAGTAGAAAAGACTGCGCCGGTTCCTCTACCTTCGCATCCATGGGCGAACCCGGCGGCTACCACGGCCACAGGCTGGTAGTGCTCTGCTGTATAGCAGGGCGCCGAGCCTGCGTGGACCAACGGAATGTCCAGCGACGCACCTTTTTGCTGAGGGCAGGCACCAACCGGACCGGTCTGCGTCATGGCACCGCCCAGGTATATCAGAGAAGCCGGGGAGGTTCAGTAGCAGCTTAGAGAGCCACAGCATCTGTCCTAAGCACTGGTGCCAGGCTGGAACTTGGCACACAGAGGAGGGCCGGGACACCGCGCCCTCCGCCAGCGGGGGTCTTTTGGCAGGGCGGGGG